TCACCCAGTCGGCCAGTCCCATCGGTCACCACTTTAAATTAAATCCCCCAAATCCCATTTTAAGATCCACCCCTCTATAATCCCTTGAACCTAAATCTAGAAAATACTCTAAACTCATAGATCGATCACCATCGAATTCTCTGAATTCAAAATCATAGAGTAAAAACAAAAGGGGTGAACAAAAGGAGCCTTATTTGGGAGCAGAAGTCGACGCTGGAGAAAGCAATGTTGGTTTTAGAAAAAAAAAGAATTATAAGTAGAGGTTGACTAGAGGGAAGATTTGTCATTCAGGTGACCTAAAATCATTTTTTTTATAAATGCGTGACTTATTTTATTGTTAAATTGTTAAATGGTTGGCTGCAATATTAAAAACTTGACGGAATATGTCTAGCATACCTGTTGTTGCTTAATCCTCTCTCGAACTTTGTTAGGCTCTTCTTAGTTGATGTAGTTAGAATTAGGGTTCAACTCGTTCTTTATATATTAGTTAAGAGGATAAGTCTGGAAGATAATCTAATAGCGTTTAAATAGAATTGAAATGTGCAAGTTAACATTTCTATTGGTCAAGGAGAAAAAAAAACGCTATTTAACTTTTTTTTTTATCAGAGTATTTGTGATAAATTTTAATTATTTAATAGAAAAATCGAATAAACTGAAATTAAACAAAATCAGATTTTAAATTAAAATTTAATAATTTAAAATGAAAACATAAATACCCATTAGCTTTTTATTATCGGTTTTTGAAGAATTTTAGGTTTCAAAATCAATCTTCTTCCCACCGTCCCTTGAAGAAAATTGTGGTTTCTCTTTATTTCAGGTTTTGATGGCAAAATCCAAGGTAATATTTCTTTCAAATTTCCTACAACTTAAGGCAATCTTGTCATCTTAACCTTACTAGTTGTTGTTTATCGATGATATTTGACCTATCTTTTTCCAATTTAGTGCTCTTTAAGCAACCTCTCTTTATAGATGATATTTGATTTATTTTTTCTGTTTTAGTGCTCTTTAAGCTTTCTCTGAACAAAAGCCATAAAAAAGACATCTTTTAGGTTTTGTTATTAGGTTTGCCCTCTGTGCATCCTTCTTCCATAATTTTCTTAATTTTTTTCATTTTTGTTATTTTTTGTCTTTTCAAAAAGCAACGCACCACTCAACAGTATCATGCTCAGCCAAATCCAACAAGGCGCCGTCTTAATTTTGACCAAGAACTTCATCTGCAATCTATTTGTCAAATTTGTTATTTAGCTGGACATGTTGCCAATACCTGTCCTAAGGTTTTAGGTAACAGTTTGAGGGATACATATCCATGTATTAGGGAGGTAAGTGTTTTTCTTCATTTGTTTTGCTTCCATTTTTTTCCATGGTTTCAAGTTAATGATATCACTTTTGCCCTTTGTAATGCATAGATGTTGTACATATATTTATCGATACTTAGGGAATTAGATGCAAGAAGAGGCAGTGATGCACAGAGGATTACAATTGGATCTAGTATAAAACTATTTTTCCTTTTTTACTTGTCCCTGCTAGCTATTTATGTTGTTTACAATATTAATCTTTTTATTAAATCTTTATCATTGTGAAATATTAGCAGCTGGAGTTGCTCAAATAAAAGCCACACGGCATACTCTTGAACTCCTAGATGACAGTTCCATTGATGGAGTTCATGTGAATGATTTACGCTTTTCATTTCCTAACTCTTTGCATAGAGATACTTGTGAAAGCCCAATATCACAAAGTCTGCCAAATTATGTTAGTGATTCAGATGATGGGAATGGTATATTTGAATCACCAAAACTGCCAAGTTATGTTAGTGATTCAGATGATGAGAATGGTATATTTACTTGATACCATCAATCATTTTCCCACTTTATAATTTTAGAACACTGTTGAACTGGTTTTTATATTGATGGTTTGTTTGCAGGTAATTAAATGTGTAGGTGATTTGATGGTCTGTCTATTACCATGAGGTGAGGTTAGTGCGATTCATACTTTTTGTTGAATTTATATTTGGTAGTATATATTTCTATGTTTTAATATGGAGTTAATAAATTTTTTTGTGAACTTGCATAAGTTAGAGATGTAAAACATGTTTTATCATTCTAAATACTAAAAAGGTAGCAATTCATAAAAGCAATCAAAAGACTCTTCTTTGTGCATTTTTAGTAGTTTTATCTTTCCAATTTTAGTTAGTTATGCTTGCCTTTTTTGTGTATTTATTATTGTCCACCCACATAGCAGCTGGTGTCTAAATTTTCTATTAACATATCATATAATCTTCATGGTGACCATTCAGGTGCATTTTCAAAGGCCTCAGCCTCTCTCACATCGTTTAACATTCTATTCAATTAAGCTTCTTCTTTTTCTTTTTTTTTTTATGGAGCATTTGGAAGAAGATGGGGAGTAACTGATGTAGATAGGGAAGGAAATTCTGAATATAAAGGAATATTAAATTGTCAGTAATATATATCTACTATATATCAGGATTTATATCGTTCAATAAAGATAAGCTTCTTTCTCTTTGTGATGAACTTACCCTTGTTGATTGCCAAAGTATATTCCCAAACCATGCCTCTCACCTGCTGAGTTTTGTTATGCTATTATATCTGCCAC